GAAGCGCTGCGTGGGGAGAGGCGGCTTCGCGCGCCGTTAGGGACAAGCGCTCCCTCCCTCCCTCCCTCGCTCGCTCCGCCGCTCCCGCTCGCAGACTCGCCCGACTGATGCCCATTCACAAAACCCGCCCGGGGGGTGGCAGCGGGGGCGGCGGGTGCAGAGTTCGTCGAGGAGACGGCAATGGGCGAGCGGCGCTCGACCGATTCGCGACCACCCCGCACGCCAGGCCCGCCCGCCCGCCTGCGTGGACGTGGGTCGAAACGTCGCCAATTGGCGCGACACTCCCCCCCCCCTCATCCCTCGTTCCGTGGACTAATTTGCGCGGAAACGTTCGTTGCATGCAACAACAACAACAAAAAATAAAGACGCGATGCGGGCCGCCGTCGTGCCTCGCACGTGTGCGCCGCATGCGAGACCGGGATATTTCACCGCGATTCCTGGAATTTGTTTCGTAGTTTTTTTTTTGGTTCACGGCGCGGTTTGACACGTCCACGCACGCGCGGCTCTGCCGTGCGTCAAGAGCGTTGCCGCGGTATTGTTCATCGACGCTTCCGCGATGCAACGGGGCGCACACCGGACTTGCAGTCCAGAGGGTCATAGGTCACGGTTCGATCTCCCGGTGCGGTAGTTGAAATAATGGGCGAGTTTCTTAAATTCCGCCCCGCCACGCTGCATCTGTCCATCCTGCAGCAGTAATGGGTGCGCTGTACTTGGACGTTCGGCAGGTTCCCTATGGTGGGGTGTAAAGTGTGAGTACCTCTTCCTAGACGCCTGGCTAGCGTGGACGAGTGGAACAAAAAACCCTCGAGTGGAGGCCCTTCTGCCAGCAGTGGCGTGAGAAGGAAATTGCAGGGCTGTGCATTTACCGTCGTAATTGCCGTGTGTGTGTGTAAAGAATGTGAGTGGTTTATTTGTTGAACAGCCAATGGACGCGTTGTCCTTGAGTGAAATGTCTGTGGAGAGCGCGGGGCCAAGTCTGCAAAAAGCCGGGCATCACTCGCTGCTCCGCCACTCCGATGCCACTGGTCGGCTGGGCTGCCACTAATTACATTTGTCATCCTACCAGAGAGAAACAGATGCATCCTCAAAGCTAATTCCATTCATTCTCCCGTAAACGCTCACTGTCGTGAATACATATATGGGGTGGCGGCAGCGGTCAGCGGACTGCGCTGTGACGCCAGCAATCGGAGTTTGTTTCCCGGCCATCGGTGGCGAGTGATATGTGAACCGTTCCCTGGCCCGCCCCCGCACCAGTGTGGTGAAGTATGGGTCAAACAGTCCCAATGGCCAACAACCGCGGGGATGCCTTCATCCAGGCGTGGGGGGATGCCTCTGGATTGCAAGTCCAGTGTGCCTTTCCATTGCAAGTGCAGGGTTCTGACCATTGCACCACCACGGTTATAGCAACATCCATAAAATATTTTTTTTGCACCGTGGAAGTGGCGAAATGTGAAATCTGCAACATAGAATTTTTTTTTTGTTTAAACGCTGGTTATATTACCAGTCTTATCGCGTTGTTTACACATGAAGAAAAAATTGGCCGGCATTCCAAACATGAATGCCACATATCATTTACAGAATGCCCCTTTTGTTGGCGGCTCTGCTCTTGGCAGGATTCGGAACTATGTACAGAGATCACTGGGGACTCGACGAAGGAGGGGTTTGGTGTTGCCGAGAACTCCCTGCGTCCTTACCGTTTAATTGTCGGCGATGACACGGACCCAGCGGTGGCGCGCACCGTCGCTCCTTGCAGAGGTTCGCGGTTCGAACCCAGCGGCCGCCCTCATTATAACAGCGAAACGTCGGACATCATCCCGAAGAGCGCGCGGCGCAGCGCCAATTCGGTGGCGAGATGTTAACTCCCTCGCCTGGTATGTTGGAGGTTGTGGGTTCGATCTTGACCCTGACGCCTGCTGTATATTTGGAGTCTGCACGTTGTCCCCGTGCTCGTGTGGATTTTTCTCCGGGTCCTTTGTTTTTTTTCCTCTACATTTAGAATGAACGTGTTTCGAGTATTTGGTGACTATAAATGTCCACGTAATAAGCCACTTCGTTGAGCTATCAATTGTGGCCAGGTAGCTTCTGAAAAAGAGCTACATAGATCAGTGGGCCTTACCTAGTAAAAGAAAAATAGTTTAGTTTCAGTTTAAAGATCCTGTGACGTCATTCGCAAGAGTAGGCTTCATGGTCCAAATTTGTCACATTTAGATAATTTGGACAATTACACGGCAGAATGACTCGATTAAAATATACATCACAATCATCAGCCCTGTCCGCAACAATGCAAAGTACAACGTGTTTTTGTTTGTTCACGTGGCAGGACCTTCTTGAAAATTTCACGAGGCCTAGTGAGGCCTTCCCGGATAAACACGCGTAGTATGAATAATAATTGACGACTCTTGGTACAGTATTTACGCAATTCCTACAGCGCAAAGGCCAGCACCTGTGCGCTACGTTTCACAGACGAGTGCACGTTGCCAGCAGGTGGCGAGGTTGCTCTGTGGCCTTGCCAAGTTACTCGATTTGCGAATATTTTTCTTTCAAATTTGGAAATCGAGACGCCTCCATTTCCAACCAAACGTCACGGAACACTTTCAACGTCCACTCTACTGGCTAGTGGTGCACAAACACCAAATATAATACGGCATATTAATTTGCATGCCTCAGACATGCCATGGGAATGTCGAATGGCAATCGCTGTCTCTGAGCCGTGAACGGAAGTTGAGCATCGCCCCACGCTCGTTTTGATTGACACGATGAGGTCGTGGGAGCGACGCCATATTGTTTAGATCACGACTCTGAGCCACGGCCACCTGAAAAAATCGATGATTCCAGGCCATGGCTAATATCGGCAGCGAGTGATATCTGAACCGGTCCTAGCGTGGGGGAAGGAGGCCTTCGGTTAAGCGCACCGTGCTTGTGATGCAGATGTCACCGGTTTGATTCCATCTCCAGGCGAGGCAGTTGCAATAAAGTGCACGTTTATTAAACCCTGCCCCATCGCCCCCACACTCGTCACCAATTCACGGACTGGCACTGACCAGATTGGTGAAGTACGGTCAAACAACCCCTTTGACCCTTGACCGGCTTGGAGCGGGTAGGCCTTCATCCACAGTGGACTGACAAAAACAAAAACTTTAAATGAATTGGGATATCCTGTACCACGCGGGGCGAACACAATGTGCAATAGTTGTCTGCATGCGAAAAAAAAACAGATTGCGTGTTCATCTGCGTGAACAGAAGGTCCCTTGTCTTTCAAATTCTCGACCTGCACTTGATGTGATCTTATTACCTTACGTGCAATATTCCCTGACCAATGTAGCATGATCTTGTCCTCGATGTAAACACTGCCGTCTGCCTTATTAATTTGAACACCCGTTAGTTTGCCGTCGTAGCTCCGTGAAGCGAAACGTCGGACGTCGTGCCGAACAAACGACGCAGTCGAACCGCAAAACGCATCGGAGAGCTATAAAGTACAGCACAACCGCGAAAAAAACCAGAGCGGTTAAAATTTTCAGTCCATTAAATCCACTGCTGGATTAAGGTGTCCCTCACCACGCGAGGACCAGTCCCGATATCACTCGCCACTGACATTAGCTGTGGCCAGTCACAGAGACAATTCGGTGAGGTTATGAGTGCCTTGGAGAGGCAGCCCGAGGTCCCGTCTCTGTATTTAAGTTTTTGACCACATTTTTAACGGCTTTTCTCAACCCACCGCTGGATGCAGCCCCTCCTGGCTGTTTGACCATACTTCAACACACTGGTGTGGAGCTAGGCGCATTATCACCCGCACACTCACAGACGGCGGCGGGGAATTCAACTCGGGCTGCCTGCAGTGTGCTAACGTTTCGATTGCGTTGCAATGGAAACGTCATATGATATTATGTAATTTTATATTTTCTATTTCTACGTGACTTTACCGAAAGAACCAAAGAATAGTGGTGCATGTATGAAGCGGTCCCGGTTCTCCCCTAGGTCAACTCAGCATTAAATAAGTAGCGGGCGTTGTGTGTAAACATCAGCGTTGTTATCAACCCACCCCCTAACCCCCCCCCCCCCCCCGTGTGCTGTGCCAGCATTCATAGGTGCTCTCTAACAGTACTTGCCCTAAAAGTCTGTTGAGGCTGTACGGGATAATCTTGGCCCTTTTTGCATGCGCGAAAGATGTTGAGGATAATTGTGTACGCGTGCCTGCTGCCCATCAAGCGTGTGTGTACATGTGATGCACAAAGCACGGTGTGTTTATTTTACATCGCGGCCGCAGAGTGCAGACCCAGAGGGTCGAAATAGCAAGCGGCCAGTGACAGACCCCCACGACTGAAGGGTGCAACAGATCAGAGTGTGTAGCACGTTTCTTCGCGATCCAGAAGCAGCGGTGGGAATTCCACGTTATTGTGGCAAAGACCGGCCTCTCCATATAGGGCAACCGTTAAGTGACGGTGGCCTTAATCTGTCCACCTTTGACAAATTATAACGATGATGGGCTCGGTTGCTTCTAACCAGGGTGTGAACTCATAACTCTGTGATTAGGGGCCCTGATGCTGTAATAAGTGAGCTGTCATATTGGGGAGTGTGTTTATTCAGCTTGCGGCTTATTGGGTACAGTATGTGGTACATATTGATTTGCGTTATTTTTAGCGCGACAGAGGACGTTATTTAATTTTCAGAACGAGACAAAGCGTGAAGTGAATCGACTGGATTATCATGTGTATCATCACATCTTGGAGGGGAAAAAGTAATTTGAGATAAATTACAAGAATGCTTCAAGCATCTTCACCACTTCTTATTTTAACCCTTCGCCATCAACTGATTTTCCCCATCGGTTACATTTTTTCCCACTGCAAAATGCCTTTTTGGATCAAAACGGTTCTAAATTGGCTTGGATGTGGACACGGCTCTGTCGATCTGTTCCCATAAGTTCCATGTTTTGTGTGCGCCGTGCGAATGATAACTCTTGTCTCAAACATCCCTTCTCCTCGCTCTCTCTCTCGTCCTTGTAGGCATGTGCACTGGCTAACCACAGCATCTGGGCAAAAGCATGCCAGGTGCATCCTTACAGCCCGCGCTCTCAACTCCACACCTTCACCACAGGGACCTGCAGGGAAGCATCAGTACCTGCAGTAGCACCTCCAGCAACAGCAACAGCCGTGCATTTTGCGAGCCGCAGCAGCCGATGGAGGGCGGCTCCAACGAGAACTTGAAAGCGCTGAGATCCTCGGCGATCGGGGGAGGTGGCGGCGGCGGCGGCATCGGTGGCATCATCTTGCCGGGCGACAGCGGGCAGCCACACTCCGCCCCGCGCAAGCTGCTCAAGTACCCGTGCGGCATCTGCGGCAAGCGCTTCCGCTTCAACAGCATCCTGTCGCTGCACATGCGCACGCACACGGGCGAGAAGCCCTACCAGTGCCCCTTCTGCGACCACCGCGCCGCGCAGAAGGGCAACCTCAAGATCCACCTGCGCACCCATCGGGCCGGCGGTAACAACGGCGGGAACAACGGCGGTAGCAACGGCGGTCATGGCGGCTGCGGCGACGGCGACGGCGGACCCGCTTCGGAGGTCGGCCCCCTCTCCGGGTCTCCGGCGTGCGACGGCGCCGCCGTCCGGAGCAAAGAGGCGGAGCGGCTGCTGAACGAGCTCCGTGAGCGCGCCATCCTCCGCGAGCGGCAGCTCAAGAGGGCGGCCGCGGCGCCCGCCGGGGTTTGCGGCGGCGGCGGCGGCGGTGCGTTGGTGTCGCCGCAGGCGCCGCCCGTCGTCGCCGCACTGCCCGGTCGCGCCAGGCTGGTGGGCGCCGCCGCCAAGGACGCTGCCGGCGGCGGCGGTGCTGGCTACGGGCTCGGCCGAGAGCTTGGCATGAACGCGATGGCCGTGGAGAGGGAACACGGCACGGGGAAAGTAGCGGCGGCGGCGACGACGACGGTGGCTGCGGCGGTGGTGGCAGCGTTCAAGTGCCCGTTCTGCCGCGGCAAGTTCCGCACGCAGGAGGAGCTGGAGAGGCACCAGCGCATCCTGCACCTCCCCTACAAATGCTCGCAGTGCGATTTCGCCGCAGCGCGGGAGACGGACTTGCTGCGGCACCTAGAGGGACACAACGGCGTCGTCGCCGCCGCCGCCACCGGCACCACGGCCGTGGAGAGAAGCGCCGAGACGCGGGGAGCCCCAGCGGGTGCCGCCGATGAGCAGACGTGCTGCGGAATTTGCGGCCAGCGCTTCGCCCAGGCCTGGTTCCTCAAGAGCCACATGCGCAAGCACAAGGACTCGTTTGAGCACGCCTGCGAGGTGTGCGGACGCCGCTTCAAGGAGCCGTGGTTCCTCAAGAACCACATGCGCGTGCACGGAGGCGGCGCCGGCGTCGGCGGTGGCGGCGCGGGGAGGAAGCCTGCCGACGGCGACCCTCGGACCGCCACGGTGAACGGCGTCGCGCAGGCCATGCCGTCCGTGTCGGCCAGCGCCTACGCGGCGTGCCACGCCTGCGGCTCGCTCTTCGCCAACAGGAGCAGCCTGCTGGCGCACAGCTGGTGCCACCACGCCGCCACCGCGGAGGAGGAGGGGGCCACGGAGTCGGGGCGGCACGGAGCCACGGCGGCGACGGCCTCCAAGGCCGGTTTCCTGCAGACGTTCGGCCTGCTGCCTCCCGTGGCGCCCAGGCGAGGCCCCAACAAGGGACCCATCCCCGAGCTGAACCCCATGAACAGCTTCCAGGCATGGCAGCTGATGACGACGGGCGCCATAATGGAGCCGGCGTGCGCCGCGGCGACCTGCGAGGAGGAGGGTGCGGACGACGAGGACTCGGGCGACGGAGCGGAGGCAGCGGCTGAGCGCAACGGCCCGGCACTCGCCGGCGCGCGAGCCAAGATCGTGCTGGCCACGAGGGCCAAGCGCAAGCCCGACATGCTGAGGGCCAAAGAGCTGAACTCGAAACGCCCGCGGTGCCAGGACGTCGCGACGGACAACCGGGGCGAAGAGCGCGGTGCGGGAAAAGTGGACGAGCAGCCACCGCCGCCACCGCCGCCGCCGCCGCCATCGTCATCGCTGCGTTTGGAACCAGTAGAGAAGCCGCCGTCCGTGGACGCGGGTGAGGAGGTGGGTGCCGACGAGGAAGTCGCCGTGCTGTCGTTTTGCGATGAGGTGAAAGCAGCCGGAGGTCTGGAGAGCTCTGAGAATGAGCAAAGAGGCGAGAGTTTGGAACTGCAGCTCAACAGCTTGATTGAGAAGCTTCGCATTAGCTCTTGCGATAACGCCGTTTGCAAGGCCATCTCCGTATCGGAGGACAACAAAAACACGGAGGAGGAGGAGCCAGAGGAGGAGGAGGAGGCAGAAGAAGAAGAGGAAGAGCAGGAGGAGGAGGAAACCTCGCCGCCAAGTAAGGGTTTTGACGCAGCTTCAGACGAGAAGGCAGCCTCAGAATCGGGAGCCGCCCCCCGGGATCCAAATCTCCTGAGAGGAGAATCGGCGGGACGCTCGGATCGCGACGTGGTGACCGCGGATCTCGAGAGCGAGAACGAAATACCGCGGCTGCCTAACCGGAGAGAGGGCGGCGCCATCGTGGATGGTGACGCGAGGTCGTCGAGCGACGAGAGCCCGGAGCGCGGAATCGAGGAGACGCCGGGGACCAACCCGGGCTCCGACGGGAGTCGCCCGGATTCGGCAAGCCGAGCCAGCACCCCGGAGTCGAGCGGCGTTGTCGCGGCCGCGGAGATGGAGCCGGATCAGTCGGAGAAAGAGGAGCGCAGCAGCCCCTGCCGTGCCTACACCGCCACGGGTGAATCGCTTGGTCAGTCAGTCAGTCGGTCGGTCGGTCAGTTTATTTCGGATGAGTCTCATTGACCTAAAATGATCTTTTTTCGATGGCAACAAAAACTAAAGCGGAGAGCACTTTAACAAGCAGTAGGCTTTCGCGACCAATATCATCCATAATAGAGGTTTTTTGGGTGAGATCACGTCAATATAAATGTGTCGTTAAACTCACCACCACCCGACACAGCCAATTAGTAATGAACCTTACTAATTGGCTGTGTCGGCTGTTGGCGGGTTTAAGGACACATTTATGTATTTATGCGACCTTACGCAAAAAAACCCCTCCGTTAGCGGAGAGCACGTTACCCTGGAAAGGGAGGGCTTCATCGGTGTTGTTCAGCTTTCGTAACTCTCATTTCACCCAGACGGGCTGCTGCCACAGTGGTGCAGTGGTGAGCGGCCTGGACCTGCAAGCCAAAAGGTCGCCGGTTAGATTCGTGGCAGTTGAAACAACGGTGCGAGTTTCTACATCACGTTGTGACGCACGTGTAGTGTATTCGAATTAGGAGCACACACAACTCCTTGGGAGGCAACACTTATTTATTAATGAACACAACAGTTAACTCTTACATTACGCATAGGGTGGTGACCACCGACCTACTCTAGCTAACACACACTTCTCCAACTCTCAGATACTCTAGAGTGACCCAGCCAGGTGGGCTACTGGCAGGTCCGCTGACTGGAGGCTTGACTCTTCTTGGCGTCTTCACGATGCATCTTCATTCTTGATGCGGGCAGCCTCGAACCTCGTGAGGAGGCTGCTTATATGGGCCTCAGCGTGCCTGGGCCCCGCTCCGGCCACGCCCCCCTTCGAGAACCCTCTCGAAGCCCCCCTGCTATCCACGTGCCCCCCGAGGTGCCCCCTAGGCACCCGGCCCCCACTGGGGTCCAGTCACGTGTCCAGGCGGGGTCACAGAGAGTGTCACGACCTCACACCACCCTCGTGGCCTCCCGAGTCCAGAACCGGCCCTGACGTCATTCCCGCCTCCAGCCGGGATGACGTCATGTGTATGTGTAGACCCGCGTGGTCGTGATGCTCCCTCGCATAGTGACGTCACACGTGTGCGTGTATACACAGTAGTGATGCTACTACCATCACTACACACGTACACACCGCGGCCCCCAAATCAGACGGGTCCCCGCCTAAAGGTGTAAGCATAGTTTTTTTTTTAAGTAAGGGAGAGGGGATGAGGAGGGGTGGCAGAGATATTACCCAGAAACGCACTTGAAATAATGAAAAGAAAAACAAAAGACGTGACCTGGATGAATAATTTACATTTTTAAAGTGGCGCATTTCTATCCGTAGATCTCAATGCGTACCGTGTATGGAAAGCAGGAAATAAACAGAACCTCCTGGGTAAACGGCCGGAACTGTGGGGTAAAGGCCAGTTTAAAGAAGTGAGTTCTCAAGACAGACTTAACTAGGTATTAGCAAAGGCACAAAGCGTTTTTCCACATCCTGGTCACCCCAGGAACAAAGCCTTGACCTTGGGAGTCCTCAGAAGAAAGCGATCCGATAATCTCAGGGACCTCGTTGGAGAGTGAATGTGGATCAGTTCCTGCCAATATTGCGGAGTTAACACCGTTGAGAGCCGAGTAGGTCAGCAGCAGGATCTTAAAGTCCACACAACCTATGTGCCCGGGATGCAGGTTAAGCAATTAATTGAGTAACTTCCCTTGGCAGTCCGTGTCAAATGCAGTTAAAATTTACTGTATCGTGCGCTGAATGCCAATGTCGTTAGATCATCACATCTACAGTTTGTTTGTGAGGTATAATGGTTGCCAACACTTTGCTGGCCATTCAGAGGTCGCCGGTGCGTCCCTCGGTGACAAAGGGAATTTAAAATGAATAATTGTGATGGCGAATAATACGAGGGTAAAGGTGCAGCGACGCAATTCCTTGCTTACACCACTGCCGTCAGAAGGGCCTCCCTCTAGTGACCTCGCCATAGGGGGTACGGTGTCCTTCTTTCCCACGGGGGCCGTGGTAACGTCAGCACCACCGAGCGGCTGGTGGTGCAGTGGCTCGCACGCCCGGGCCACCTGTGTTCGATCCTCCCGCTGTCGATAAAATCGGCGGAAGTGGCATCCGAATCTGTCCTGGGTCTACCCTGGGTTTGCGTGCGCACGTTAGAGCCCTTGTCTGTCAATCCACACGGGTCACGGTGGTGGGGGGGGGGGTGTTGATTTGTCCACGTATCGCCACGCTGCTTAGTGAGGGCCGCTCAATGAAGGTGGAGAGCGCACGTGCGTGCGTGCGTGCTTGAGAACACACGATCAGCAACAACGGCGTTTGTGGCACACTGCTGTCCTCACAGCCACCGTGTGGGCTAACTTGGCCTTCGATGAGTACGTGATCGGTGCACGCTGTACAGATATCAGCACTCGGGAGACAAAGATGGTGGGGAGGAGGGGGCGTGGGATGCTGGCAACAACCACCACCGCTTTATCACTCGCCTTACTCGCCGCTCGCATATCAGAACTTTGCCCCACTCACGGTCAATAGCGGCTGAATGGATTGCTGCTCCCTTAGTCCCTTTGTATTTTTGTCTTCGCGTCTGTGCGCAAACGTCCTTGCGCGTGTGGGCATAGGGTGAGCACGCGGGGAGATTAACTTCGGCTTTATCCCGATTAGCCATATGGTTCTATCTCGGGCGTTCCAAAGTGCATGCACGTCAGGTGTGGCTGGTACACGTAATTGAATTAAGGTCTCTCGGTTATTGCTATTCACGTTCAATCTGTCGGCACGCTCTGAATCCAGGCTACCGCCCGCCCGCCCTCTCTCTCTTCATCGTAATCCCCGGTGCTTTTAATGCAGCAACAACAAGAAAAACAACGCGCACACAGACGCAGCAAAAAAAAACACAACGCATTTTTAATTCCTGCTTGCAGAAGCCCTCCCATTAATCAGCACGCTCAGGAATGCGAGTCACTAACACGAGTGTCCACTCGTGAGAAATTGTTGAACTAAATCGTCAAGGTGTGAAAAATGTTGAGCTCCCCCTCCCCCCCAATGCATAATTCAGAATTACAGTAATGTGCAAGATTCCGGCTACAATCACCAAGTGAAAATCCATCCGTCAACACAAAATGTAATCAACTTTGTCCGCAAATCACGCAATGTGACAAATGGGGTACCAGTGTCCCCCATTACAGGCCACAGTCCACGGAGCTTGCAGCTCAGTCCGCTTCATCTTGAGATTAATGCCCCGGAGAGCTTCATATGGTTTACGGAAATGCATTTGCTGCTAAATCGGTCTTTTTGTTGTTGTTGTTGCTGTTTGTTGTTGCTGCTGCTGCTGCGCGTGCACAACACCGAGCTGATAAAGAGCTTCTGCCGCTGTAGCTGCACGGCCTGGAGTGACGGGCAACCTCTCTGCCGGCCCTTTATTTCGCTGTCTTCCTGCATCACGTATTTCTTATCTCTCTGCTTGCCTACCTTCGTACCTGTTGCCTGCCGACATCGGGTCAAGAGCCACGTCATGGGATGGCTCTAATATCACTTGACACCGCTGCTAGTCGTGGCCGGGGAATCTAACCTTGGTCGCTGACCGCTGCACCACCGCTCTGCCGGCTGTCCGCTAGCAAATTTTGGTGAACGCAACTAACACACAAACGGACCTATGGGAGGAATTACAGAATGATTAAAAAAAACAATGTTTGAAAAAGACGAAAGTACGACATTTTTGTCGTGCTTGCGTGGCCTTGTTATCTCTGAATCCAACGCCCACCGCCGTTCCCAGCGATTGTCAAGGAATGCTCACTCTGACAATTTGTGTGCGCATGTGGGGTTGCGTGTGCGGATGTGACCGGGGTTGTGTACGCGTCTGTGCGTATGGATGTGATCTTTGTTCTCCGAGTGGGGAGCGGAAGGTGTAGCGGTTCGCGAGCTGCTGCCAACGAACCCGGCTACCCGGTGGTTCGATTCCCTTTCACGGCCAACACCAGGAACGATTATCCCAACCGGTCCTGGGCCTCTCCAAGGTTGACTTTGCCTCAAACGAGTACCTGGTGTGATGTGTAAGCATCGCCAGGAGGGAGACAAAGGCGGCCCGGCGGGGTGCTGGCCACCCACCGTCTCGTGTGCCGTGCCGGCCTTCATATGTGCCCGCTAACAGCACTTGCCCCCAAACAGTCTGTCACAGGCTACACGGGGGATCTTTGTCTGTGTGTGTGGATATTACCGGAGTTGTCTGTGTGTGTGGATGTGACCAGATTTGCGGGAATGTTTAGAGATTCGAAAGGAATCACGTCGTGGCTGTATTTTTCTTTTTAAAACAACGCTCCGCTAATGTTTGAAGACAGAGCTCACCCTGATGCGGAGCGTGCAGAGAGCTCCGACCACGTGATGAAGGGCGAGGTGGCTACTCGAAATGAAGGAGGGACGATATTGCCCGAGAATGGCTCGTGAATAATTTTGGATGTTAAAGAATATACGGGTGCTCAATTTTCAGGAGATTAAAAAAAAATATATATATTTTTTAAGAGTAATTGGCAACATTGATGCTGCGGGAACTTTTTTTTTATTTTGCGACATAAAGCCTGCTATTTCCACACGTGATAAGAGCATTAAATGATTCGGAGTGCGATGACTAATGATAATTTGCAAATGAGTGCAAAACCATATTTAAATACAAATGAGTTTAAAATAGCTTCAGACTTCTTTTGTTAAATGTTCCCACTTAAAAATGTGGGATAAAAGACTGGCTCTGAATGGCACGTAATATGCCTCAAATTATTTTTCATGCGTTTTAACATTTACACATTAATGAGTTCATCCTTCACTTTTGAAAATAACATTAAACCATACTAAGTGTCAACAAACATGTTTGTTCGCGCTAACGGAGAACAATTAATTTAAATACATTTCTGTTTTAAAAAAAATATATATTATAAAAAACATATTTGTGTAGTTTAAATTTCGATTTAAAGCTTTCGTGACTGCAGGGATTCATCTTTCCCTTCTACGTGACTTTACCGAAAGAACCAATAAGATATCTGCGTAGTGTTTTATTTTTATCTTTGTTGCTATCTTGTGATCTCAGAAATAAGTTCTTGGTTGTGTTTTTTCTTCCTCCAAAGTTCACTGAAAGGTCTGTCTTTAGTAACAGCACGAAACACTTAAAACAAATCTGTTTAAAATTAGATGTTTACATGAGACGTCCCAAAAGCATTAGCCTCGGTTATTTTTTTCATTTGTTAAAACAAAAATGCTCAATGCATCTTGGCAGCTGGACAACCAAACATGAAACCACCACAACTAAAACTGAGAGTTGAACGCCTGGAGGGATATTTGATAGATGTATAATTTTTGGCAATTTCAAAACCGCTCGCCTAATTATATAATTCTCGGCCAATTAAAAATTAGCATTTCTTATGCCCTGCAGGTACGGCAGCCTCTAAAGTGGAAGGTCACGGTTCAAGGGGCAGAGGTCGCGGGTCAACGCCAAAGGACTGTCCGTTTTGTGGAAAAACTTTCCGCACGTCCAACCACCTCAAAGTCCACCTGAGGGTGCACACAGGTAAGGGCGGGGAGCAGCAGCGGTTTCCTTCCAGACTACGAGTTGGTGGTGGCGTGTAGGAGGCAGGGCAGCAAGTAGGTTGCAGACCAAACTGCGTGGAGCTTAAAGTTTTCGCGTTTTCTTCGTTTTTTTTTTGGGGGGGGGGGGGGGGCATTCTGGTCTTATGCTCGCCTAGAAATTATTATTTTTCGTGACATTTTTTTTTATTCCACATCCTATCCCTCACATCGTACATTGCAACATCCTGACCGTCGGGCCGATAGTGCCTGGGGCATCGACGGTATCAGGCACACCGGGCTCAGCAGAGCAGGCGGGAGGAGGGTGGTGGAAGGGTGCATGGGCATTATTATAATGAGAGTAAAAATGACACGTGCACATTTGGCGTCCACGTCGTTGCTATAGCACAAGGCTATCACGAAGCACTGTTTTACAGATAGGTATAGTCTACCAGTAGGAGGAGGGGTTGGGAGCAGGGAGATGTTGCTTTAGGCTTCACCCAGTCAAATATTTTGCCAGCGACTTTCAACTGTAGCAGATTCGTACTGTGATGCTGGCACACATACAACCTTTTGTTATACATATAACAAAAATGGAACCAATGAATGATCCATTGATACTATCGACCGTGCACATTCTGTAGGATTAAACCGTTACGTACATCTTGCGGGCGCAACGAATTTGTGACCCCCAAACTCGTCAAAAGGGGAAAGAAATTAACTTTTCCGTGTAAACATACAGCCCTTTGTCTGCTGGATGAGGCCCTCCCCACAGCGTGACAGTCGTGGTGGTGTTTCCACCGTGCTTCTCCACACCGGTAATTGTGGAGACAGCCGTATGAGCATGGTACAGTACAACAATGGATTTTGCGAACATTACCCTCTTCTGCCCACAAAGTAGCCCTGCAGGCGCTTGCCACTCCTGACCGACAGGGTGGCCCAAAAGTCAGGACACATTAGGGATATTTTATTTACTTCAAAGTAAAATTTAATATCCCAAGTTAGTATAAGAATTAAAAAAAAACATGATTAATATATGTGTTATTCTTCTTCCTGGGGGTCACCTCAAATCGGTCATTTACAAAACTCGACTAAGAGCCCCAAATTATTTGAGACAACAAAAGGTAATTGATGAACGTTAAAACATGACGCTTTGTAATATATACAAAACATCCTCAATTAACTTCAAAAGATTATTTGTGCATCATGCATCAATGCTAATCGAGCATTTGGTCAAATATATTTAATAACCCTTTATGATTTGTTAAAATTAACATAATAACCCTGTGTATCCTGACTTTTGGGCCACCCTATATGTATGGTGATCGCCCTTCCAAGCACTATCCAGGCTCATCCCTGCTTAGCTTCCGAAATCTAATGAGATTGGGTGCATTCCAGGTGGTTTGGTCAAAAGCGTCCCTTAACAATACCTCCTAACACAAGGCCTTGACGCAATTATCCCCAAGCAGAAGCGTCACCCAGGAAGGTTCCTGTTTTAAAGAGCCATGCTTTATGCGTTAAAGTAGTACTTACAAGCTCGTATGAAGCAAAGCGTAGACACATTCAATAAACGTTACAAACCTCCCATGGGGACATCGACTCAACAGCAGTAGTACAATGCACATCGTGTTTTCTCACTCTGTACGACTTGAGGTTGAGAGCGTTGATGCGTTAGTTCCTTCCGTACCTCCCGTCTGTACCGAGCAGTCACGGATGATTTCATACGAATTCACTTTGTAGTCGCAAGTTGTGTTGCTGTTAGCGACTTGCCCTGTGTAAAACAAGGCAAACGCCTGCGATTAGCACGGTAGGCTACGTGTGAAAGAAGTTCAACATACACACGTACGTATTGACACTTGTTTGAACATCTTAACACCTGTTTAATTACCAGAAAGGATACAAACCTATTGTTATGTGTTTCGTCATTTTGTAACTTGGAAAAAATGTCCCAAAGTATGGTACAACACTGGTCACTGGCTCGATTTGATCTCAGAATATTCCAGTTGAAACAATGAGAAAGCTTTTTATAAACCCCGCCCCACCCCCACCTGTCCAGCCAGCAGTATCAACAGGTCCACCACAGTCAGATGATTGGCAGGTGTGGTCAGCGTGCAAGGGTAAAACCTCTCAAAAGGGGCTCTCCAGAGCTGCTTCCCAAAGACGTAAGATGGCAATTACAGGGCCGCACCTTTGCCTTGCGATGACGTGGCTTTTGTGCCCTTGCTTTGGACGCGTGCGAGGAACAGGTGAGAAGCCATACAAGTGCCCCCACTGCGTGTACGCCGGGACCCAGCCCTCGTCCCTCAAATACCACCTGGAGCGACACCACCCTTCGGCCCAGTGCGGCGCTAGCCCCGACGTTGCAGACTACGATGACGCGACACCTGCACAGCAGCCACCGCCACCGCCGCCCCCACCGCCGCCACCACCTCCACCGCCACCACCGCCACCGCCGCCGCCTGCACCGGCCGACACCCAGGTACCACGACCTCTGGCTTCAAATCCCGTGGATCCAAACTCCGGAAAACCGCCCTCCTTTGCCCCTCGGCCTGGAAAGCTCCAGAGCCTTGGGCGGGGCTTTGTCAGCGGTGGCCACTCGAAAGGAATGGGTCCAGCGGCCGCGCAAGCGCAGGCCGGCAGCGGCGGTGGCAGCGGTGGCGCTGGCGCAGAGATCCGCCGAGAGGGCGACGTGAAAGCAGAGGAGCGCGACGCATCGCGGCCGCTCTCGGAGCACGGCGCGCTCACCAAGCTGATCTTCAGCTCGCCCGAGATTTTCCAAAGCGTCATCCTGTCCAACCTGGCGCAGGCGTACCGGGGCCTGGTCGGCAATGGGCTGGACTCGGTCACCAAGTTCTACCAGATGCTGCGCAACTCCAAGCTGGCCGCGTACGGTGACGGGAAGGCCTGCGCGGTAGGCCACGCGCCACCGAACAGCTCGACGGCGCAGGCCACGGACGTGAGCAACCGCGCGGACGACGACGGAAGCAAATCGCACCGCAAGTCGGTGAGGGCGGACGCCGACCCGCCGAAGCGCGATGTGTATGATGGCGCGCCGGCGAGTGCCGGCGGTGGCGGCGGCAAAGGTGTTGTTGAATCGACCGGCTCGAGCGTCGCGGACGGCGAGAGTGTGCCCAACAACAATGGGCTGCACAACGGTCAGGGACTCGGCACCTTCCGCCGGAAGCGCACGTTTGACAGCGACGGGCTGACGGTGCCCAACGGACTGCAGACGGAGCCGCTCGACCTATCCAAGAAGGCGCACGCAGAGGCTGTGTCGCTCAAGCTCCCAGGCGATGGGCCGTCACGTGGCGAGGCCTCAAGCACCGACACATCATCATCGTCATCGTCGTCATCTTCGTCCTCATCCTCCGGCCTCTCTACAGTCTCGCAGGACGGCCCGCTCTACCGCAGCCGCCCGTCCGGCGAACGCGATGCGCCGTCGTCTTGGGCCGCGGCATCCATCTCAGAGGGGCAGCAGCAGCAGCAGCTGAGGCGAGCAGGGGCGGCCGCTGACCGCTCGCGATCGCCCGGGCCCACCGAGGGCCCCAGCGGCGGCGCCGGAGCCGGCGGCTTGCCGACGGAGCGCCGCAGCGGCGCGCCGTGCGGGAGGGCGGGAGACGAGCGAGGCGGCGGCGGCGGCGCGGGCAGGCCGGCGGCGACAGCGACGGCGCACGCTCGCTCGCTGGCGATCGGCTCGGCCGGGCAGCTCCTGTCGCTATACGGCGGGCGGCTCGGCGTGGCCGGCCTCAACTGGAGGAGCGACGCAAACGGTGCGAATGGCGTCGACCGCGTAGGTTTTTCGCGGTTGTGCTCTTGTACGGCTCTCCGGCGTGTCTTCTTTCAGGTTGTACCGCGTGTTGTTCTGCACAATGTCCAACGTTCGGCCCCTCCATGTGGGAGTTTCTTCAGTTTCTGGGGTTGCCAAACGTCGGACATTGTGCTTACCAACACGTGGTACAACCTGAAAACTCATCCGAGGGCTATGGCCGTGGTTTATTTTTTTTATATTTTCCCATGTGCGTGTGACAAAAAAAGAACCCAATTGCATTTTTGAAATTGTAATGCTCCTTTGTGATGTCTTGCATTCGGCCATGCAGACAGACTAATAATCTTTTTTTATATATACGGCAACAATATTCCTTAGAATATAAAATAGTTTTTTAAAACTAATTATTTAAAACCTTTAAAAGCCTGAAAAGCCCCATATATTTATTTGAGAGTAATTTAAACCAATTTGTTCATTAAAAAAAAAACACCTCCAGATAGCATTCAAGTATTGAAGTCGCAAAGAGCATTTAAAACCGCAAAATATCATGATTAGAGCCCCAGAGATCAGTTTTTATTCAAATTTAAGTTGAATACCTTTGTAAAAGCCAACTACATTATGGGGAAATGGCATGTTTACAATAATCTCTTGTTATTGTTATATCATCACCTAGTCCCGAATTTACCTACACGTATCTTTGGAGGCGCCGCGGTGACGAGATGTTAACAACCTTTCCTGGTATACAGAACTATATGGGTTCGATCCCAACCCTGACGCCTGTATATTTATAATTTGCATGTTTTCCCCATGGTTGCGTGCATTTTTCTCCTGGGTTCTCCAGTTTTTCCTCACACATTTATAAACATGCGGTTAGAGTATTTGGCTGCTATTCATTTCCACATGATTAGCCACTTCGGTGAGCTATCAATTGTGGCCAGGTCGCTTCTGAAAAAGAGCCATATAGCTCAGCGGGCTATATAGCTCTTTATAGTTCCCAAAACTAAACTATTATAGTTTAATAGTTTAGTTTTGGGAAGTGTCTTGGGACTTTCTTCTTGTCGCTTATTGTACTTTTGTCAGTTCCAGCGTGAGTGGCCAGTCTTTGAGTACAATGGTGTCCAAGTCTGATGTTTAAACCTGACCTTAAAGCAAACTCCTGTCAGTAGTCCATGGGCCAGAGCAAAATCGGTACCAACCAAGGTAGGAAGGTGTACCAATATATATGTCACGAATAAGATTTCATTATTTGATAACCCCGCTGATTTCAAATGGTTCTCGCATAATTCCCCGTTATTGGCCACATAAAGAGATTGCAACCGCTAAAGTGGCACCAGGGAGGGGGTGGGGGGTCATAGACACACTGTGGAGGTTGGCAGTGCCCTCCTGGCGATATGTTCCTCCTGGTTATTGGTAAGGTTACAGACAGGATCCACAGAGTTCCCCACCGCCCCCTTCCTCTTGCTTCATCACGGCTAACATGAGTTTTTGCTACGCTATAATTATGTTAATTGCCCATAAGAGGTTTTTTTTTTGTTGGGTTAGATCGAAGAAATATAAATGTGTCGTGAAAACCGCCACCGCCCGACACAGCCAATTCGTAAGGATTGTCACGTTAACAAAACATGCCAATTGGTAACTGGTTCAGCACACCGGTGTGTTAGAGAGCAAACCCACAACACTTACAATTCGAGTACCCGTGACCGTTCGCCGGCAACTACAACCAGTCTCATCAAGCGACAGCCAGAATGTGAATTGTATGAAATCTATACGACTACAGGTGACTGCTGAGCCAACTGTGCGTTGCTGCTTATTTAAAGGCCGCATCATCAGCATAATCGGCATTTGTGTCACCTTGTTGATGAGACTTGAAAACACCCGGAGTGCTGTGTGAAATCGTGGATCTCTCGCAGGCCATGTCGAAACTATTTTGCGGGTGTCTGGACACCCCACGGGCACCCCTCCCCCCGCACCCCTGGGGTGCCAAAGTGGTTACCGCGGCAGGACTGGCAATTGGAAGGTGGCACGTTCAAATCCCGATCAGGAATCGGCTCAACTCAATCATCCGAAGGCGGTTAATGAAACGTGTACCACTCTGTAGGAGGGCAGTGGTCGCTCACATGGCAGAGCAAGCATCCGCCATGGCAACGTGGACATTCCACCACTGGCTCGGCATCACCAACGGTGACAAACGGCTGCTCCGCGATAGCGACGAGTGACAGTCCATTGCCCACCTGGGGTTGAACTCCCGATCACGGGAGGGCCAAATAGGACGTTCAAAGATACAACCCCCGGTGTTACCCCAATAACAACGCCTGATCTGGTCACGGGCCGTGCCAGAACGGAGCCGCGGGCCGCACCGGACCGGAGCCGCGGCAGGCTTTTTTAACTCGGGCCCAACCGCGCCACAGGCTCCCCGTCCCCTGACCAGCTGCCGGCTTGGCTCACACTGGTGGTGTCACGTGTGCGTGCGTGCGTGCGTGGGACGGTCGGCAGGGTACATGAAGAGCCACGTGCGTGGCCAGGGAGACCTCATGTGCAAGCAGTGCGGCAAGGTGTTCAGCCAGCCCAGCCACCTGCGGACTCACCTGCGATCACACACCGGTATTCCCAGCAGCGGCGGCACCGCGGAGAATGCGATTTGTCCACGAATAATGTTTTTGTTTTGCTCGTATCCAGCTGTAAGAGTTGCACGTGTATCACACGACGAAAGCGTGAACACTGAGTCACGCTTCAGCTGTTCGCTCGGCGATGCGCGAACTGTGCAGTTGGTTTCCGCGGTCGTGCTGCATTGCTTCTCCGACGCGTATTCAAATTAAACGAAAGAACTGACTAATTTTATTTCACCAGGTAACCAGGTAAGGCCCACTGAGCTATATAGCTCTTTGTCAGGATCGACCTGGCCACAAACGATGGTTCAACGAAGTGGCTGTAACACGTGGAATTGTATAAATGCACGTTTCTAAATGTGGAGGGAAAAACCGGAGACAAAGAAAAAACCACGCAACCACGGGGAGAACATGCAAACAAAAATACAGCAGCAGGCCTCAGGATCGGGATCGAACCCACGACCTCCTGTATACCAGGCGAGGGAGTTAACATCTTGCCACTGTATTGGCGTTGCGTCGTGCGCTCTTCGGGATCATGTCCGACGTTTCTCTCCGAGCGCTGTGCGCTTCTTCAGGAACTGAATCGTCGGAGCGAAACGTCAGATCACCATTGTGCTGAGCAAAAACGGTAGATACGACCCGAAAGAACACATCAGACAGCGATGTATTTGCACAGCGCTTTTGTCACTCCACTGCTGGATGAGGGCCTCCCGGCTGTTTGATTCTACTTCACCACGGCGGGTCAGTGCGGGTCGGTCGGTGAAGGCAGGGAGCACAGACGTGGAAGCCTAGAAGTACAGTACAACAATTTGTGTTTCTGCTTTCCATCTCCGCTATGCACAATGTCCCACCGCAACAACCCATGATGCCTTTGTGATGCATGGTGGTCGCCGGTGGAAACTTCCGAGGTCTGAAGAGATCAGGCTCATTCTAGGAGATCTGGCCATAGTCTTGGTTGTACCGTAAGGACAATTGCAGCCCCTTTCGTCAGCCCAAATGGTGGATGGAAAGCCTCCACCACACCGTGCCGGCACTGGGCGTTGTTTGACCATACGCTGCCACGCCGGCCGGTGCGAGTTTCAAGAGATCCTTGGCAGTTACATGACAGGACGTTGTTTAATCGCGTGATTTATTCGAAATCTGTCAGAGCTTGCAATTCTAATTTCCACATCGTGATCGTAATTTATATTTTTCGACGCGTCTAATGTCATGATGTCTAGCCGTTACTCTGAGCGCGTGAGTGTTTATTACATCTCGCAGGACCGTGCAGGATGCCAGCGGCTTGGGGAGGCCTTCATCCAGCAGTGGATTGACTCAAGGGCTGCTGATGATGACCATGAATAACTCTTTAAGTGTGTTCCATTTAAATTGAAGTATTACACTTCACTCTTTGGCGTAAACAAATATTTCAGCCGCTTTGTCTTTTCCATGCTTAATCCCCTTTTTTTAACTCGCCGGGTTATCGCATGGTGATCCATCCATAGATACCCCACTGTAATAAACACTTATTAGTTGGCCGATAATAGCTTAATATATAGAGGACCACAGAGCTTGGTGGTGATGGTGGGGGGGGGGGGGGACATGACGCCGTAGTTCATCACTGCGTGGCTGCTGCCTTCACCGCTCGTCTGTGGTTCCTCCTCGCTCTGTGCTCTTCACTAATTTTCATCCGGGCGGCCACCGTCGCCGATAAGACATCATCAGCGTGAGGGCCGCCACTCATTATTTTAAACCATTGTTGAGGTTTGTGACAGCAGCACGACGACGATGATGATGACGATGATGACGATGATGATGATGATGATGGGGGCGTTTTTTCACTTTTGTGCATTGACGGAGGCCGCACGTCACGGGCCAGCAAGTGGCCCGCGGGCCTTGCAGTGAAGAATGCTGGCCTAGAGTCGCCTTCTCTGTACGAGAGAGGGAGTGTGGCGCGGTATTATTATTATTGGAGCCTCTACAGATCTCCCACAAATGTTCTTTCATAGGTTATATTTTTTTACCCCTTCCCTCTATAAGATATGGAGCCATCGTTGGTACAACAGTCTGCCAGATTTTGAGAATATAGTAAAGAGGGGATGTGTGTGTGTGTGTGTATGTTGAACTTCTTTCGCACCGTACGTAGCCAACCGTGCGAATCGGAGCTGCTGGGTAAGCACAACAAACTAAACACACAAAGCGTATTGCAATCAGTGGTGGAGTGTCTATAAATGGATCACCCCGTATGAAGACTACATTTTTTGTGTCAGCAAGGAGAAATCGCCCTTGAGCAAATGCGTCGCACGCCGTCGTGAAGCGCCACGCTGTCCAGCAACGGGGGCATAGCCCGGCGTTATATACTGCACCGACGAGCTTCTCACTTACACGTCGCACGCCGTCATACGAGCCGCACTGGACCACCAACGGTGCAATCCGGTGAAACGGCGCCCCCCCCCCCCCCCCCCCCCCCCCCGTGACACGCGCGGCGTGGGGAGGAGGCCCTCATCCAGCAGGAGGGCTGCGAGACGTTTTGCTACTTTGTTGGGCGCGTTGCCCACGTGCAGAGATGCTGTCGGAGTGTGCGTGTGTGCGTCGGTGTGTGTACGTGCACGCGTCGCAGGATTAGCAGGACGCCCTCTGCGGTCGCAAGGAATGTTCACAACATTTTTGTTATTATTAGCAACCGTTTTGGTTTTTGCACTAGTTTCACATATACATTTGCTTTGTGCCAAGTTTATTTGAACATTTTCTACTGTTCTACAGTGGTTGTTAACCACGAAAGTGATGATGATGGTGATGACGACGATGATGATGAAGATTCAGAATCAAATAATAATACGGTACGGAGTTGTTGTTTTCTTCAAGACTTCGTTTACTAGAAATACAATGTCAATTCGTCAAATGCTACTGGTGTACAGCACCTTTGCTGACCCACTGCAGGATGAACACAGGCCAAGAATTAAGCCATCTATGTCCAGACGCTCGGTGGATTTTGTGCCGTCCTTCTACACATTACTCAAGTGATGATGATGATTTTTTAACTGAAATTATACTGGTGAATTGCAGTCCATTTCTTGATATTTATCCGAGACCAAGTTTATTCCGAGTGAAGTATATAAAACAACCTCCTGCCCTTCGTCAATTAATTGTTTGGATGAAGGCTACCCCACACTGACGTGTTGGCCATTGGAGTTGTTTGACCCTGCTTCACCACACGAGAAACTGCCGGTTGGCGATGGTAAGCGGCATTGATTTTGGGTAGCATAGTACAGTACAGTGCAACGTTGGATTCTGCTAAACTGACCTGGTCTGCTGACAATGTCACCCCACTGCAACAACAACTACCATTCGCCACTAAGTAGCAGTGACATCACCACGGCGCTTGTACCAGGCCGTGCACGTTAAGGTCACCCCACTGAAAATGTTGCCACTGACCTGGTATCAAACTTGGAAAGGTCACGAGGTTCAGAGTGTGGTGGTCGGACTGGCGCTTCACTGTTCCACACCAAGTCCATTGGACACCATGGGGCCCTGATAGAATTGTAATTTTAAGAATGTTTCTAAAAAAAAGAATCGTCTTACATTGCCATCAGTAGAGTTTCCCACGAGCAGATGTTTAGTAGCAGAAAAATCCTTCGAAAGTCAATACAAATGTATGCATAGACTCATTTGGGATCCACATTTGGTTATTGGATCAAGCCAGGTGGCGGTAGTTTTATGCCAAAAAAAATTGTCATTAACCCTCAACCACCTGACACGATTGTCACGTTCGCACAGATATTACTTACACGTGGCACTCTATTTATGCGTGCCAAGATCGGAATTTTGGCGTAAAACCACTACGTGGCCTAACCCCAAAAGCAAATCCCGTACGGATAATTGCGTTGGCTACGAAAACCTGTTGTTTGTGAAACTCATTTGCACTGCGAGTACAATTATCAAAATGCTGTTGACTCATTGCAGCCTGGGGGTAACCCATAATGCGGCATGATATCTCAGTGAAGATATCCTCCTCCATCAAAGCCGCTATTATCAAAGGTGTCGCCCCCCCCGCCCCCCTTTCGCCGCACCCGGCGAAACGAGCCGGGGGTTACATCGCTCCCCACGCCTCTCCCGTTTCCAGAGGGACGCCGCGAGCTTTTGTACTTTTTGCGCGTCTCTGCGGGTCTCTCTCGCGCGCGCTTTCTCTAATGGAAGGAAGTCCATGGAATTTTATGAGCCCCCTTAATTCCTCGCGGCGGCGCTTTGCACGAATTTCCCCCCCGTAAGCAACGGCGCTTGTGAGGCTGCGACGATGGACGGCAACGCGACCGCGGTTCGTGCGAAGGTGGATAAGGGAAAATAAAAATAAAAACGAAACGGGAGAGCGAGTCTCTGTGCATTGGCACTAGCGGTTGCCGTGATATTTTTTCTCAGAATACGATTTTAACATTTTCAAGATGTGACGATGATCATCTCGATGTCAGCTTCTCATAAGCTTGGAATTGCATTTTGCATTTTTTTGTCCCTTATTGTATGTGCGCCTGCTGCATGTTCAGTAAGTAATGATAGAGATTACTTAAGTGTTCTCTGACGGCACTTCACTTAACATAATGCTGCCTTAAGTCTTCTCTAAGCACTGCAACTTTAAGATCTATAATGCTTATAATGCACATTCTGTCGGCTGCACTAAAATAATGAATTATTCAAACCAGCCATGAAGATGCTGTTGGTGTCATCATCTATCAGCCGTACCTTCATTTACAAGGGATAACATCGAGCAAATCACTCAGGCAATGGGTAATAGGTATTTAATATCGAACTTTAATTGCAGTGTCTTTTCATACATATAGATTTTTTTTGGTCAGAAAAAAATCATAAAAAGTTACTACAATCACGAGATGACGATATTTTGTAGGCAGGAGCCACCCCCCCCCCCCTCGTGCTGCTCGCTAACAGCGCTCGCCCCAGCTACCTGTGTGGACTACCGGTGGGAAGGATCTTTGTCTTGGGCTTTAGACAGCCATTTGAAGGGAA